AGCGGGGAGGGAGGGGAAAAATGAGGACCTAATGCTGGGGGCTTAAGTGGAGAGGAAATGTTTTGAGAAAGACAAGGGCAATGAATGTATAAATGCGCTTTACACAATTGATGTATGTATGGTGATAAGAGTTGTATGGGCCCCCAATAAAATGATTTAGAAAAAATAAAAATGGTTTCCCACCCAAAGAGGTAGACTTTGAAGACTACAGTGAAAGCAGGGGGAGGGAGGAAGAAGGATTAAAAAAAAAAAGCAAAAAAACTCCAGAAAGGGCCTGAAATGGGGGGTGTGGGGGTGGTTGCTTTCTGGGGTACTGTCAGTGTTGTTTCTTGACCTGGGTATTTACTTTCTGAAAATGAACCGAGCTATGTAGCAGGGCTTTACGTCCTTCCTCGATCTATGTTATATTCCACAATAAAAAAATAATAATGGAACAAGACAGGGCCCAGGTAGTCACCTGGCTTTCGACACAGCCACTAATGTACATGGACAGGGAGAGGTGCTGCAATCACTGGCTACTCTTGTTTAGAACCAAAGGGACACCGCGAGGAGCCATGATGCTTGGATAAGAAACACCAGGATGGGAGGGTTTCAGAAAATTCGTTCTCGATTCCATTCCCCATGAGTTTCCAAAGCCGGCTCACATAACTACAGAGACTTTGGACACCTAAGGGCTGTGTCCAGGGCTACGTGCGACCAAGCGGAAGAACCCGGACGAAGCCTGGGCTCCTAACCTCTGCCAGCAAGGGGAAGCTGTACCCCTTAGAGACCTCACATCTAGTATGAGCCATAATCGTGTTATTGACTTATTACCACATCAACGCACCGATGTGACTGTTTTGGTGCCAGGTGCTGGTGCGATTGGCAGTCGGTCAGGGCCCTCGGCCTGCCCGAGTCTCCATCCCACCTGCCTCCCGCTCCTTCCCTCCTGTGAGCTCACCTAAGGGTGCGGCAGGGCACTTTCCCCTCCTTCACCAGCTGCAGGGCCTCCTCGTAGGCAGCAGCAGGCCTGGACAGGGGGATGGGGAAATCTCCAACCTGCAGGGATTCGAAAAGCTGGGGGCGAGGGAGAGGGAGGCACAGAGGGGGAGGAAGGAGAGCAGTCAGAGGCTAGTCAGCTGTGTCCACCTGCCAGCAGGGGACACTCTCAGGCTTCCCCTCCACAGGCAGCCTCTCAGGGGCTAGATCAGAAGGAGCACTGACCCGGGGC